CCGTACTCGTGTTTTGACGTTGGTCTCTTTGTACTTCTGAACCGAGCATTCATTATGCATAAGCAACAAGAAAGCTGCTAATGAAGATTTTATAATTGATAAAAACTGCAACATCAGCACATGCATAAAATTATCATGAGGCCACAGCTAAAAGGGAAGGAAATGAGATAAAAATGAGACAGGGAAAAAAAAAAAGCAGTACTAACGGTCCGAAAACAGCCAGCACATGTATATTGATTTGACTGCTCTGAGTGTGGATGTTTATGACCTTTTTTGCAAACCATGAATTCATCTACCTGCTAAATAGGTAGAAAATGGAGGAGACAAGAAAAGATGACTGAGCACACAAACGGGCAATGAAAGCAAACTGTTAAAATTCAGCGTCGACTGCCTCAGCTTCATGCATCGGGGTGTTTTGTTTGTATTTTCAAACCTGACTTATATTTATAGGAACACATAATGGCAAAATGTGTTTTTGAATGCAGCTGTAGGCACAGAAACAAGGAGGATTTTTTGCTTGTTTGCAATTACTAACTAAAGGTATGCACTCTGCAGATGCTGCACACTCTTCACCACATTGTTTAGCACATGTAAAGCACTTTGAATTGTACCTGCCTGAGTAGAAGATGCTACACGAATAAAAATGTAATCAAATGCTCTAGCTTCTATCCAAATATGTTACGACTAATCGTGATGCATGATATTGAACGTTCTGGCCGATACCGATATTAAGATTTCTGATATCGCTGATAACCTATACGACCGATGTCGATACAAAATTTTTGTTCACACTGAAAAATGAGTATAAGCAAGCACTGTGAGTACATGAAAACTATTGAAAATAAGTCCATACTGAATTAGACCACATAGTCTTCTTTGTTAGGTAACAAAAGTAAAACATATTTAAACATATTTAAACACATTTTAACATATTTAACGTTCAAGTCCAGGACCATTTCAGTAAAAACATCTGTAAAATAGCAGCAATATCAAATGTAGAGACAAAGGAAGTAATGTTGGACAATCATCAGTTTTTCACATCAGCTAAATTTGTTCACCGACCCGATACTGATATATTGGAAAAAACACTAATATCGGCCGATACTGATGTGATCGCCGATATATTGTTCGTCCCTAATGACTGATGATGACTGAATGGAAATGGAAAGCTATGTGATGGAAATGTTGCCATAAATAACGCTTTAGCTATGAGATCCAACCATTGTTGATTGTGCACAACTGAAATAATATAAAATAATCTGAAATCAATGACAGAATCAATGGGGAAAACTTTGCTTCTATACACAACAGTTCAGGAGTTACGGCATCTGAACCAAAACTTCGCCAGCACCGAAATGAAACAACATGAACCGAAATGAAAAACACAACCTCAGTGGCAGAGGTGATACCAAGACGTAGAGGCACCAAAAAATAGTAATTCTCCGTAACAAATACAAACTCATGGATATGGAAAATGCATGAACTCAAAGACCAGCATCACAAATGAAACAACAAAGTGATACACTGCTTTGCTACGATGAAAGGACAAGGCGCGATATGAACAAAGTTAATTCCAAAGAGTGACCATTAAATGTCACCAATGTACCACGTTGTGAGCTACGCAAACCCTCAATTCAGCTGACAAGTCTCGTCCCTTCTGTGGACACGTACTTTAAGAGATGCTGACATTGTCAACAGCAGCATCACAACGAGAAGGATGACTGATTAATTCTGTTCTGTTTTTTTATATCAAGGAAACCACCTGACTTCCATCTCAGTGTTTTATTGCATGAAAACCACCAATGTAATATATACGCAGACATTAGAAAACAGTTGTAGAGGGGGCTGTGAATAATTAACGCTATGATGAAGAAGGTTGTGGAGAGGCGGGGGGGAAGAGAAACTCTCACCCCCACATTTTAATTCTCTGATAAAACTTTCACCTAAATTGTAGGAACAGAGCCTCTTTCTTTTGTCTGAATGATAATGTGCATGCATGGGTGTTTCTGTATTCCGGTTCAGTGACCTTGGGCGTACAGGAGATGGAGTTGCAAAGGCTTCGTGCAGCTCCTCTACTTTGGTAAGTGTGCAGAAAAACGTCAAACATGTTTCTTCCTTTTAATCATAATCCACCCATGGGATCATTACATTAAAGAAAATATAGATTTTTACTTCCAACTGTTTGAATTTGTTATCAACATAGTCACTATTCTCATCTGCAGGGTCATTTAAAATGCAGTTTGCTGCCATTTACTCATACGCAGTTTTGTGATTATTCAGCTGAGATGTTTGAACATGCATTCATAGGTGGATAATTGGACAGTCATATTGATTGACGTGCTGATTTATTCAAAGTGTGTACTGTATGCTTCAGTGTGGAGAGCTGCATTTTTGATAATCAAATCACCTCAGGCCAACAATAAAGCTGTGTTGTTGCTGTTTATTGCTCTCAGTGACAGATGTTTAGCAACACACTGATGGAAACCGAAGTGAAATAGTGCAGCGACAAACCGAATAAGCTCATTTTGATTTCAATTGAAAGCAACATCAAATATTTCTCTGATACTAACCTACAACCTTCTAGTATACGGACTTCTGAAGACATGATTTGCTCAGACCTTGCTTTATGCATTGGTATTAGGAACATTGTGAAAATCAGCTCTTTGTTTTGTGCCCCGGTGTCACGCTGAATATATCTACATGAGTTACTCCAAAAACGGACAGTCAGATAATGAACACGTAACAATCAGAAATAATCTTGGGCGCAGGCCTCTGAAATCGCCCGAGAGGAAAACAACCTGCTCGACGAGCCGAATGCATGCGGCAGACGAGGTAATGCCACGACGCTGTGCACAAAGCAACTTAAGAGGACAGCACTTAGAGGTATGTTTCTCTGAAAAAAAAGCCCCGGCATCTTTGCTCCACTTCTCCCCTGACTGACAGCACACTCCAGAGGAGCCACACCGCAGGACACGCACACTGATCCAGTCTGACACGCCTGACCTTTCCCGGGCCGCACGGCTGGCTCACCGTGCTGCCCGCCCTGCCCGGCTGAAAAGGCCACACAATGCCACGCAGGCAGTGGCATCGCAAGCCCTCCTCAGCCTCCCCTTTACTGCCACCTCAAGAGCTGGCAAGTTGTGTGCTTGGGACTGCGGAAAGACAGCCACTCAATCTGAGAGGCTCTCATCCACAAAACAAGGGCATGCCATCCGAATTTGGCAGTGATATACTGTTGGTATTCCCCCAACACACCCTTAGGTGGAGTGAAGATTTTTCTAAGTGGATTATTGCGTTTTTATTACAAATGACGTGTTTTGCCGCGCAAGGGCGCTTTCTTACTTTGACCTTATACCATTTAAGATGTTTTAATTAAGGCATTGCTCATACACAAAGTGATTATGACGATGAAATTTGCATAATGCTATTAGTCATCGCACTTGTGCCTTGTGCAGCGGCTGGTTAGTGAGGGGGTCTAACATAATGTGTCTGCCAACAGTCTTGGTCGCGGCAGAATAATCTCAGAATAGATGCTGCGGGAGCCCACTAAAGAACAAGGGATGAGAGGACTGTAAGTGCAGAATAGATGCCGCAGCTGTGAAATGAAGAGCTGTCGCATCCAGCGAGCACTTCCCTGCGTAAAGAAAACACTTGGCACAGCAGAAATAAATCATGTGCTCGTGTACTTCAGTGTATGATTGTATTTTTCAAAAACAGAGAAGGAAACGCTCCGGGAATCCAGCCTACGTGACAAGACATGGCCAGTGCTCTCCTTATCTGATGTGTACTTGTGCAAGTATCTTTGAGGATACATAACTGACAAATTGACTTTTAATAGCCAGAACTGTAATGCAATTTAAGAAGCCAGTGACTCAGATACACTTACTGCCCTGGAAAATACACACATTCACTTTGCTGAGTAAAAAAAAAAAACACACACACACACAATCCTACAGTATGTTCCTCATGCAGTCACTTGCAATACGCCCCCCCTTTTAGTAACTGTACTGCATCTCTGCCACATTAGTATGAGCCATTGCAAATGTCCTTTCTGCTGCAATTACAACAAGGAAAAATTTTAAAAATAGAGTGATAATGCATTTCAAATGAAGTGGCTCCTGTTTGCTTTATCCTCTCAGACAACGTCATCAACCTAACAAACATCTCGGGATGATTTGAACTCGGTCGTGAGGTAAGACGACATCAAATGAGGAGACTTCTGTGCGGTCCAGGAGGAGCGAAGCGCTTCTGTACGAGCCAATAAGAAACACCTCAAAGGGACTCCGACACGTCGCGCCAAGGCCGAGGATGTGGAGGGAGCTGTGTGCACTGATGTATGCGTTTGACACATCACAACTTTTCACACACAGATGGATACCCTCGCTTAGGAGGAAAGAAAATCAGTCAATAACCATTTAGTTCGGAGTGTGTGAGCTTTTACAAAATCCTCTCTAGAAGTTCAGGAGATTGTATCGCTGGGGTTTAATCTAGTGGCACCGCGATGGGTTTGGAAGCGGTTTGGACTCTAACAGCATAATTTCTGCAATAAAAAGGTGGAATTCTGCGAATGAGTTAATGGCAGAGCCCCGACACAGCTGGACAGGAGCAAGTGCATTGTAAAGGGTTGAGGTGAACTCGGAATAGAGGCGATTTATATGTCAGGGGGTCAGAGACGGTAATAGGTTGTTTTAAATGTCACTATAGCAGTTTTACCATCCCAGTTTCTCCTATGCATGAATCTCCCCCCTTTTTTTTTATAGTCAGTGGCATTTTGAATTTTGTTGTGTCTCCAACTTGACAATCCCTCCAGCAGGAAGGCAGTGAGTACCCATCCCATCACTGCTCAGACAGAAGGATGTGCAGATTTGCAAAAAAACAAAAGTTTCATTCTGAACACATCAAGGGGGAGACAGTAGTTTTAGGGCATCCTGTATCTGATGCCCTGATGATCTGTGTGTAGGGGGGGGGATGACATATTAACACATGGACGCAGGTATTACCTTTTATTCCTCTGGGCCTCCTTCTTATCCATAATGACGGGCACACAGTTCGTTAGCTCGGTCCAGTCTGCGTGCAGTCCGCAGCTCCAGCCGGTGGAGAACCGGGAGAAGAGCCAGGACTCCTCTTTCCCCGGTCGGTGACATGTGCATTTCTTCTGTCCGGGCTTGCAGTCGCACGGCTGCTCCAAGCGAATATTCCTCACCAAGTGCCTCCCGAAAGTGGTTCCCCCGGTCTTCTGGATGTGCAAAAACACGATCACGTCGTCCCCCTTGATGTTGAACTCCACGTGTCTGTCAAGGTCTCTCTCGGTGAAGTTGAATTTGGACGGCAGTTTGGGAGGGCTGTCATCCTCCAGGTCTTGATCTCTGTAGAAATCATCGCTGTCCTGATACGGGGATGAAAGTAGGCTCACCCCTCGTAATTTCTCCTCAGTCTTAAAGTGGCACGAATTGCTGCCAGCAGGACATATGTACTGGTAACCTATCATAACAAAAAGCACCGCTAAAATAGGAACCAAAATCAGCTTACTGGATCTATCATCCATCATATCAAGATAGTGTCTTCATTCCATTACTGTGAATAACAAGTAGCACCCATGGGCTCTTCGGAGATCAATATTCCTCCATGCCTTAGAAATAGATTAAAGGTACATATTGTTTAAGTGCCACATGTTGATCAGATAACACCCTCCAATATGCACAAAAAAAAAGGAGAAGTCCACCTTTTTTTCTTTTTTTTCGTTTCTGCGCTGGAAATCTTGTCCAAATTCAAGAGTCATGGCATATAAGTCTCTGGCTGTCCAACTTCTGAAGCCGGTGTGGAGCTGCATCGACGACTCCCATTGCTCCGGAATCAAGTTGAAAACGAGGCAATCGAAGAGTTTTATTCTTCTTAGTTGTACTCCTTCTTTATTCTTACAGCTGATCCCATGCGGGCGAAAACACAGTGTGGCTCATTTCGTTGGCAGACTTTTCCAGCAGGAACGTCGCCTTTGGACGGCTCGCACTGTTGGGCTGGATCCTCCGGCTGCACATCTACAGCATCCTATACGGGCTCAGACAGTCTGACTGACTGTGCTGAAGCAGTGCTTTTGAGAGGATGCTGCTGCATCCGAGCCGACAAATATGCGTTACGCTCTCGTCGCGGTTGGGCTGGGAGAGCTCTACATCCCATCCCCGTCCATCCCATAATCTTGTTTAACACAGTGGAAAGCCTGAAGCCCACACGGACACGAAACATGGAGATTTAACCACATATAAACACCTAATCCTCTGTAACTTTTTTTTTTTTTGAAGTGCATTCATCCAAGTGGGATGATGAAAGGAAATATAATCTATCTATCTATCTATCTATCTATCTATCTATCTATCTATCTATCTATCTATCTATCTATCTATCTATCTATCTATCAAACCCAAAGTTTTCACTAATATTAAATAAAAAACGAGTGAGAGTGAAATGGGTTTAAAGGAGCATTCCCCCCATTTTACCCATAATAAAACAAAACAAAACAAAAATATTTCACTAGTTCATTCCACCTGTGCAATCAAGTTTGTGCAATGAGATTAATCCAATGCTGCCCTCAAAAAGAATACAAATCAAATAAATAAATAAATAAATAAAGAACAAACAAACAAACAAACAAACCCCGATGATGTCATTGGGGTAGGGAGCCAAAAAAGGCTTGAGCACTTACCAGGCAGGAAGGGAGAAATGGAAAGTTTTATGAGGCTGCGTGGCTTGGAACATCCCAGCATCCAGCATATATGACTTCTAGAGATTAAAAATGGAAAAAGATATCAGTCTCTGCTTACTTGATTAAGACCTTTTTTTTTTTTCTCCTTCATCTAGCTCTCACAAATACATAAGCTTTATGGAAGTCTAATACTAAATTGCTAGACTGCCTTTTTCATTTGCTGTTGATTTACTAATGGATGCATATAGGCTAGCCTAAAAAAAGTTTTATCCATGACAGCAACAATAACAGCAACACTATTATTATTACTGTCATTATTATTATTATTATT